TTCTACTGCTGCATTATTGGTGTATAGAAATACAACAGACTTCTATACGTTGATTTTGTATCCTGTGACTTTACTGAATTCATGTATGAGTTCTAGCAAATTTTTAGTAGAATCTTTTGAGTTTTCTACATATCATCTGCAAATAGTGAAAGTTTGACTTTTTCCTTGCCTATTTGGGTGCCTTTTCTTTCTTTTTGTTGTCTGATTGCTAGGATGCCTTTTCTTTCTTTTTGTTGTCTGATTGCTAGGATGCCTTTTATTTCTTTTTGTTGTCTGATTGCTAAGGCTAGGACTTCCAGTAATGGTAATGGTGAGAGTGGACATCCCTATCTAGTTCCTGACTGTAGAGGAAAAGCTCTCAGTTTTTCCTGGTTAAGGATGATATTAGCTGTGGGTCTTTTGTATATGGCCTTTATGATGTTGAGGTATGTTCCCTCTATCTCTACTTTGTTGAGGGTTTTTATTAAGATTGGATGTTATACTTTGTCAAATGCTTTTTCTGCATCTATTGAGAGGATCATATGGTTCTTACCTTTCTTTTATAATGTGGTGTATCACATTGATTGATTTGCGAATATTGAACCACCTTTGCAACCCAGAAATAAATCCCACTTTATCATGGTGAATGATTCTTTTAATGAACTGTTGGATGCAATTTGCTAGATTTTGTTGAGAATATTTTAATCCATGTTCATCAGGGATTTTTGGCCTGTAGTTCTTTTTTAGTGTGGTCTTCATCTGGTCTTGGAATCAAAGTAATGCTGTCCTCACAGAATGAGTTTAGAAGTGTACTTCCATTTCTACTTTTTGGAACAGTTTGAGAAGAATAGCTATTAATTCTTCCTTAAATGTTTGGTAGAATTCCCCTGCGAAGCCTCTGGCCCTGGACTTTGTTGGGAGATTTTTTTATTGCTGATTCAATTTCTTTGCTGGTTATTGTTCTGTTCAAGTTTTCTATTTTTTCCTATATTTGGTAGTTTATATGTTTCTAGGAATTTATTCATTTCTTTCAGATTGCCCAATTTGTTGGCAGATAATTTTTCATAATATTCTCTTATAATTGTTTGTATTTCTGTGGTGTTGGCTGTGATCTCTCCTCTCTGGGAAATAATTCTTTAAGCTGCTTCAGACATTTGTGCTTCAGGGAGAAAGTTCTCTGAGCCTTTGTGAAAAGGAGATATTAATGGGGGTGAGGGTGTTCTATGTCTCTGAAGTAGAAGAAAGGGCAGCAGAGAAAGGAGCCGAGCTAGGAAGATGCAGGCACCAAAAATAAGACTTAATCTTCCTTTTATTTCAAAAGGAGACCAAAAGCAACATGCCTGAGGGTACGTTGAATTGGTAAATAGATGGATTATCACATTATGTTCTCCCAGATGTTTCACACACAGATATTATCAGTGAAAGTCACCAACACTAAGACCTCAAAGGCAGCACTACTTGATTTTATATACATATCAATGCTGTATCTCTGGCACTTAAATGTGTTTTGAATTAATTAACAGTTTTATTGCATTGGGGAGAGATGGAAGGTCAAAATAACACCCCGAAAAAGAGCGTGGAGTAAGTAGATGAGAAAAATAGCAAGGGCAACTGGTTCACTTAGACTGGACACACAACTCTTAAGATTTGGGAAAGTCTCAAGATATTCAAATGTTGTTTCCTTCTTGCATTGTGTGTAGACCCTTGAGTAGACATGAAGATCCAAAGACTGCATGATTGTTGGTATTGGAAAAGGCATTACAACCCTCTGGTCCTTGCTTGGCAGGTAAAAGATAACATTCACAAAAGTGGGTTCTCCCGGTGAGGCTATTCACTTGCTATCCAGGTGTGCTGACCCCTGTTACTTTCCCAGGTGTGGAAAATTCGATGACACATTTGAGGTGGAGGGGACGGCACCCATTCCTGGCTTTATGAGTTCTGGTGAGGTGGCTGCTGGTAAATAACCTGAGCTTCTATTGGTCTGGAATTCTCTTTGCCTCTTAAAACAAAAAGTTAAGAAAAATCCAGACATATAAAAATGGGGAGTGAGTGGGGGATAAAGCATAGGAGTAAGAGTCTCCAAATTGGTCTTCTCTCACCTTGTTCCTTCCCCCAACCCCTTTTCTCAGCAGGCAGGCAGAGTTTCTTTAGAAAGTCAGATGATGTCAGCTTCTGCCCTAAAGCCTCCAATTGCTCCCCATTCCTCCTGAGGTAAAAATCAACATATTATAATTGCTTGTGACAGATGTTATCTAACTTTTTACCCTCACTTAATACTCTAAAATAATTTTTAAACTATGTACCCATTTGCATGCTTTTCAGTTAATATCTAAAGTTTTTCATCATAAGTTTAAATAATTAGATAAGATGCAACTTTTGGTGAGTTGTAAATATCGATAATGAAAATAAAACAAAAATTAGAGCATTCGTACGCATCCAGTAGAATCTGCCATAGCTACTCAATAGTTACCATCAAATACTCCATAGTACATGCTTTCATGTACTCTTCTCAACAGTAAGAAATGCCACAGGGATCCTTTTTCTTCGTACAACCACATTTCCACTCCACTTCCCACTTCACAGCTTTATCTTAATGTAATTTATTTTATGCTTGAAAGTCTGTTAGTGGTTACTCTTACATACTTCTCAGTAACAAAAATATGTATATAAATTTAAATTACAGATTTTATTTATTTCCTGTTACTATAGGCTTTATGTGTACAAAGAAATTTCTTCTGGATTCAGTTGCATTTATAATTACTTTTAATATATAATTGATTAAAACAAATAGATAAATTTAACAAAAAATTTAAGTAAATTTCTATTGACAGATATAAGATCAAATACAGGTTTTGTGGGTACGAACATTTATAAATACAAATTTAGGAAAAAGACTTTGGAAGAGACCAGTTTAAATGAAGGGCCTGTACCTTAACTTTCATTAGCTTCAGCCTCTGGATTCATGGAGTTGCTCTGATGTTGTTCCTCATATTAGTTCATGTACCATTACTTATTATCCATATTATGTGTTGCCAAAATGAGACAGGATTTAGCGTCAGTTTTATCCCTATTTTTTTACTTAGTTTCCCTTAAATGCTGAGAAAACTTAAATGTAAATAAGTAGATGGAAACAGATGGGAGTTTTGTTATAGTAATATCTTTTTTTTTATTATGTTAATCACCATACATTACATAATTAGTTTTTGATGTAGTGTTCCATGATTCATTGTTTGCAAATAATACCCAGTTATAGTAATATCTTTATTCTTTAAGTAGATTTGGCATTATATGCTAACAATAACATCATGATCTGTCATTATTTTTAATGATTTGTCAGCTGTCAACTCCATTAGGACTTCTTCTAATGTGTTTTTGGGGCAGGGGTTGTGTGTGTGTGTGTGTGTTTTATTAACATATAATGTATTATTTGTTTCAGGGGTACAGGTCTGTGGTTCATCAGTCTTACACAATTCACAGCACTTACCATATACCTCCCCAATGTCCATCACCCAGCCACTCCATCCCTCCCACCCCCTTCCCCTCTAGCAACCCTCAGTTTGTTCCTGAGATTAAGAGTCTCTTATGGTTTGTCTCCCTCTCTGGTTTCATCTTGTTTCATTTTTCCCTCCCTTCCCCTATGATTCTGTCTTGTTTCTCAAATTCTTCATATCAGTGAGATCATATGATACTTGTTTTTCTCTGATTGACTTATTTCACTTAGCTACCCTCTAGTTCCATCCACATCGTTGCAAATGGCAAGATCTCATTTTTTGATAGCTGCATAATATTCCATTGTATATATACACCACATCTTCTTTATCCATTCATCTGTCTATGGACATCTAGACTCTTTCTGTAGTTTAGCTATTGTGGACATTGCTGCTATAAACATTGGAGTGCAAGTGCCCCTTTGGATCACTACATTTGTATCTTTGTGGTAAATACCCAGTAGTGCAATTGCTGGGTCATAGGGTAGCTCTATTTTCAACTTTTTGAGGAACCTCCATACTGTTTTCCAGAGTGGCTGCACCAGCTTGCATTCCCACCAACAGTGTAGGAGGGTTCCCCTTTCTCCGCATCTTCGCCAACATCTGTAGTTTCCTGACTTGTTAATTTTAGCCATTCTGACTGGTGTGAGGTGGTATGTCATTGAGGTTTTGATTTATATTTCCCTGACGCCAAGTGATGTTGAGCACTTTTTCATGTGTCTGTTGGCCATTCTTCTAATGTGTTGAAAGCAAAGAATCAGAAACCACCCTGCTGCAAAAACAAGTGTTACCCCTCAACTGAGTTCACTTGGTTTCTTAACTTCAACAATACTATTTGACATGGTCCCTTTGTGTGGCAACCTAGAGGCATGTGCTGCAGTAAGATTAGGGAGGGATGAATGGGGGAAGGATGCAGGCCAAAGGGAACGGGGAAAAGGAAACGTGTGTCCTCAGGTGGACGGATTTTAGGAAAGCATGATAGGAAAAATGAGACCTAGATATTGATTCTCTTTAAATTGTCTGTGTGTCTCTTTATCCCTTGAAAAGTCTTTAAATACAGCCGGCTACCTATGCCCCAGTTTGAAGATTATTGGTCCACAAGGCCCTACACGGTCTCTGTTCCCCTCACCACATCTTTCTGTCTTCATCCTCTTTTACTGTTATCCTTGCCCTGGTCACACTGACAGAGCTCTTTGCTGTTCCATCAATGTTCAGAGCATTCTCCAGCCTTGAGGCCTTTTCCATACTGCTCAAAAGTCACCCTATAGTGAAGCCTTCCTCAACTGCCCTATTTTAAACTACAGCCTCTCTCTCTCTCATATTTCCTAATCCTCCTTCTTTTATTTTTCTCTGTAACACATAGAGGGGTTCAATATGTATTTGTTAAATGAATTAATTTCTGTGCACTATAAATGAATGTGTCCACATAAGCCATAAAAGAGCACTCCATGTTCTAAGATTATGCTTGGGCGGGGAAACAGGAATCATCTTAGGATGTGGCCATTTTCTGCTCCTAACTGTGCTGTATTGCAGTGTGTCAGGAAGCAGTGTGGGAAGCATATCGGATCTTTCTGGATCGCATCCCTGACCCAAGGGAATACCAGGACTGGGTCAGCCTCTGCCAGCAGGAGACTTTCTGCCTCTTTGACATTGGAAGAAATTTCAGCAATTCCCAGGAGCACCTGGATCTTCTTCAGCAGGTGAGCCTAAACGCTGTATGTTGGAACACCGTCCAAATAGCTCCCAGGCCTCCAGCCCCTGCCCCTTTTCAGTTGGTTTCCACTGCATAAGAGTTAGTTGAAGAAATGCTTAGAGATATCTGATAAGGCCAACAAGAATTTTATTTTTGCAAAATAGCATTGTACAGGCTGGTTGAAGTGAAGTTAAAGGGAAAAGGGGATGAAAATAGACTTTAGCTCTTCAGTTGACATTTTCTCCTGATAAAATTACTTTTTATCTTTCTGCAGAGAATAAAACTGAGACACTTCCCTGAGAGGTAAGTACCCAAAATAGAGTGCAGCATGCTTTTGACTTTTGAAAGATCATATAATGGAGTGAGACTGAGCTATTGTACCTTTATGATATTATGTCAGCACTGAGATCTGTGTAGGTTATTCTGACAGACAAATTATGCATATACTGCGCTAAAGATAAATGAGTATATAAAGGGGAAATGGATAGACCCTAAAGACTGAGATAGATGTTGGCACTATGTTTGCAGATAAAATGGATTCATTACTATGTGTTAAGTATCTAATGTGTATTTTCAGTTATAAGATATAGAACAATTTTTTTAAATAGTTTGATTTTTAGAATTTATGGTAAACTGTTAGTTATATCAGGAAAATACTAATACAATCAGAGAGCAACCTGCATTTTGAACTCTCATTTGGTATTCTGTAAAGCATTAGTATTTCTCAAACTAAATTACCGAAGCACTGAGCTATACTCTCAACAAGAACTGAATATCAAACAAGAAAATCAAAATGAGAAAAAGGCAAGGAAAAGTAATTAGATAAAATGATTAAAGAAGAGAGGTAAACTGTAAACACAAATTACATACATTTTATAACATTTAGAAATCTAATTCTGAAGATAATACTAAGAGAGACACAAATTTGGTATTGTATGAATTACTGACAATTCTTTATAATGCTTTTCACATTTGTTCCTTCATTTCTATTCCCTTTGCCAACAACTTCTTCCAAGACCTTACTAATTTACACTGTGAAGAATGTCAAATCTGATCTTCCTAATGGATTTCCCTGCCTCTAACCTCTTCCCCTCCTTAACTTGCATAACTGCTGCTGGATTAATAAGTCTGAAAAATTTCTTACATTGAGCCCTGTTCAATGACTTTCAAAAGAGTCCTACATCTTCCTCTTACCCTTCTGAATATCCTCTGCCCACTGTTCCCCTCATGTTCTGTGTACAGAAGGCTGATTGGTAAGGATAGAGTCACGTGCATCCTTTGCCCTGACTCCTAGGTAGGGCCAGCCAGTGGGGAGCAGGAGATCAGAGGGAGAGGAGAGAATGAGGTGAGTGAATTTCTCACCTCCCCTCACCCTCAACTTGCAAAGTCTTCAAATGCTGTTGTCCTCCTTCAACTTCATTTCAGCTCCTGTCAAGCAGCCTTTCCACAGATCCTTTTCTGTCTCTGGTTCATGGTAACTGGACTAAGGGTAGTTTGAGCACCCCACTGTTACCAGCCCTGGGGTACTGCACTTGACCTTGTTGTTGCTCTTATACTCTTCCCACAACTTAGTAAGTAATTCCTTTTTTAAACTTTGCTCAAATTACCCCACAATGAGTGAGCCATCTGTGTCCTGCCAGGACCTTCACTGAGGCAGAGCAGAGGCCAAACTCATCAGTTAAGACCTTTCACCCCCTGACCTTTCCAACTTTGCATCCACTACCCATGATCCCACTGTTGCCACCATGCCATTCCTCCCTGCACACAGACCACACCTTCCTCATCCTGGACTCTGACCCCTAGCCTTTCCCTCTTGCCCAGAAAAACCTGCCTTTTCTACGTTACCTATCCAAATCCTACTCTACTTCACACTCCTAGTGGAGTCCCACCTGGATCCCATGATGTCTTAATAGCCTATTTGAGCCTGCAGCAATATTTTCCTGCTTTGAACTTTGTACTCTTTTTGGCACTTACATTTTTATGTAACACTTCCTCGCTTTACCCTATTTTCCTGTAAGAGTTTAAACTCCTCAAGGGCGGGAACCCTTTCATATCTCTCCACCCACCACCACAGACCTGAGCAAAATCCTCATATATTTTTGTTAATTGATACATCTACCAAACCACTCTTTAGAAATTTTAAAAAGTTTTACGAGAAGAAATAATGTGATCAAGGAAAATCTTAGTACTAGAGTATTAACTTTGTTCACAAGACACAGAGATATTCACTCTTCTGGTTTAACTATAAGATGATACTTATTTCTCCATTTTCAAAAAAAGAAAAAGAAAGCAAAGCAGAGGCCATCCATCCATAAGAAAAAATCCAACAGAATGTACCAAGACTTGATAGAAAAACATTAAAAATTACAGGAAACAGCTAACCCAAGACAGAAAGAGAAAGAAATAGAGCCATCCCATCCACTCCTGTGTCTACCAACATTGCTAGAAAGAATTGCTAAGGAGCAAGAGACAAACATTTTACATTAACTATGATTACCAAGTTGGGAAGGAAGGAAGGCGGGAAGGAAGGAAGGCAGGCAGAAAGGCAGGCCTGTTATTTCAAACCTTTCTAGGAAGACAAAACAGAAAATTTTCTCACCTGAGTAGCCCATAAATCTGCCAGTTTCAAATGACTTTAAAATAAAAACCAGTGAAAGAACCCAGTGTCCCAGCTTCCCAAATTATAGCGTCCAAGTGATGGTCTAGATTGCCACTGTCATGGCAGAATCACACCCAGTGGCAAAGGATGAGGAAATAGCATCTGACAAAGGATCCTGCACAAAGTGGGCTGTTGACTTGTAACTAATGCCATAGCCAGCACTTTAATAACTATTCCTCTTGGTTGTTTTCTTTTTTACAGCAAGGTAAAACAAGGATACCAAAGTTATAATAGGAGGAAAGAGATCGTACCATGAACAAAGTTCTAAAAAGTAAAAGAAAAAAGGAAAATTGTCTAAATCACAAATGCTCTAATGTTTGATATGAGATCTTTATAAATATGATATCAATAAAAACTATTTCTTAAGTATATAGCATAATACCAGTAGAAACAAACAAGAATACCTAATTCTGAAACAGTCTGAATTTATATTTAGTCTGTGTGCACCAATATAGTCCTCCATGTTTACATCTATTCTGATTGGTCAGAGCCCATGCCAGGCCAATGGATATTTTGTATATTACCTCTATTAGGACTTTGGGAAAATTGCATGTGTTAGAAATATGTGTGTAGATGGTCCCATTGTCTATAGCCAATCTAGATGACCTTACAACACAGAGCACCTAGCCATTCCCTTTGGTCTTCCCATCATCGTGAATCACAGAAAACTGGATCAAATATATTGGTCAACTATGACTAAATTGTACTAATACAGACACAAGCTAATAAGACCTAATAGCTTAGAGTAACAAATCTTTCAGTGAGCTTCAAAAGATATCACTATTGCTACTCCTTTCTATATAAAGCTTGCTAGAATGGGCCAATGTTATAACAGACAGCTGTACAACCATGCCCTTGGATTTGCCCTTAGATATCTTCCAGACTGCCACTGCAAACCCACCCATAACTCCTGCAGACAATGGTTGTGTCCAGAATGGGGATTCAATACACCTGCATTATCCAGAAATCTCCCTCTCTCCTATTACTATAACCACAAGAGTTACTTTAGTAAATAAACTTAAGGACTTTCTGGATTTGCAGGTTTGAGGATCTGAGATTTTAGCAAGAACATTCAGTCATAGATCATGTCATGCAATTATCTTTGATGTCAAGGACACAGTGCAAACACAATGGGACTATAAAACATCAAGCCCCAAAGACCAGTTTTGCTTATGGTGAAAATGCTCCCGAGGACCACATGAAAGATGCTTACGGAAAACCCTAGAGTCAAACATAACCATTTGCAGGAGTTGTTTGAATTTTTCTTCAATGAAAATATATTTGAAGGTTACTTCTATAATGAAAGAAATAGGCAAACCCAGTTTTAAAGGGTTTTTCTCTAATTTTTAGGTCTATTGAGTATAGGAAAAGTAAGTGCATTTCCCTTATTGTTATCAAGCTCCTTTTAACCACCTCTTCTTTCTTTTCTGCTGTGGTGATAGAAAAGATGAAATATCTACAGCGGAGACATTCGGAGAGCCTGGGGAGACCCCTGTGTTTTCTACAGGTAAGCTTAGATCTCCTCATTCACCTGCTCCTGAACCTTAATTCAAATGATCATGAAAGTATATTATTTAAAAAGCAATCCTTAATTGAAGTTGACAAAATTTATAATATACTTTCTCAAAGCTAACTGATATTTTTAACTTTATAAAATAATTTAAATGCATTGTATAAAACTTGAAAATCTAGAAAAGAATAAAGGTAAAGCCAAATCACCCATTATCCTTCAACTTGGAGACAATCATTACCAATATTTTCAAACAAATAAATTGAAGATAAATATCTGTCTTGCACCCTTTATATATTCACAAATGGAAAAATTAAGCAGATCTCATTGGCAAAACCATTTAACTATAACATATTTAAGATGGCCCCAAACTAGGATAGCACCTAGAACAGAAGAATGGAGAATTCAACTAGGATCAAAAGTATGAGTTATATTTTTCTCAAGAACATATTTATGTGATCTTTAAAAAAATGAGGTAAGAAGGCACCCCACATCTGTAAATTCCAGAATGACGGAAAAAGTATATGAAATTTTGACCTTGTTCTAATGTAAACTTCTCCAATCTCATTTTTGTGCCTGTAATGTTTTTAATTTCCACAGATGTTGCCAATGTCTCCGTTGGACCCTTCCCTCTCACTCTGGATGTCACACTCTTCAGTGACACCAAGAAGCCTACAATAGTAAGAAGTTCTGAGAGTCAATCTAGCTCTTCACATGCCTGGTTTTGTTTTATTAGTAACACAAGAAAAGAGAATGGGTGAATTGGCCATTTAGTATTACTAGTGCTGCATTTTTATCACTCCAATTAAGAGTCAGTGACTTTGTTCTATTCGGGATTATTCCTTCCTCTAGGGACTGAGGGAAAAATAGATTGAAAACTAGAATAAGGTGGGAGGAATTGCAAGAAGCAACTTAATTATAAACTCCAGGACTGCAGGGGCCCTTTTTCCCTAGTACCTAAGAGAACCTCATCTACAGCAGGTACTCACCAAGCACTAGAATAAATGAATGAATAAAGCCTATCAATCAATCAGTCAAGCGGCTTCACCACTAAAGTGTATTCTCGTGCTGACAGTAAGGGTAAAAGTTTTGCTTTCAGGCATGGCCAGCATGAATAGGTCAAACAAATATCAAAATGATTGAAATCCTGCATGTCAAATGGGGAAAAATAAAATCGGTGTTCTCAGGCAAAGAGGAACACTGGCTACACTGCTCTCTTTGTGTGAAAAGGCATGAAGGAGAGGAGGATATGTTACAGCATTTAATGTCGACTATCAAAAAAGGGGGACATTTTAACCGTTCCAAAATCTTTGAGCCAGACATTTGATGCTGAAGCAGGGAAACTGTCCTCTTTACTCAGGAGTGACAGGGCTGGGGCAGCACGAGGTGGGCAGCAAGTTCAGAAGGGAGCAGGAGTACAGGGGTGACACATCTGAGCCCAGATCTTCTCATCCTTACACTGCCACTGCAACCAGACCTAACTTCCCTGTGGTCTGTGAGACTTCACTAGCCTTTCCTCTCCTGGGAACCTAGCCACAAGGCACGGGTCAAAGCCCAGGCAGTGAGGACGAGAAGGCCAGGAAGTTCAGTCTCACCAACTCTACATGAAAATTCAGGGATGAGAAACCCGCTGGCCATTCTATCTGGCCTGTAGGCCAGATGGCTATGGATTTGCTGGAACTATTGCTATGAACAAAGAATTCAAATTTCCATTTTTCTCAAAAATACTATTCCATGAACAGTGAAAAGTGCTGTTGGAAAAAATTACTGAGATTAAATGTATTTACTATAAAATTTCAAAGACAATTCTAGTTTGCCTTCTCTTTTCCCACATTACTTGTGTCCCATATTCTTCAAAATCTAATATAGGTCCCCCCTTCTGCAGTAAATATCCCCTGAACATTTCATTTCATATTCACATCCTCCTCTTATCCTTTTTCCACCTGCATCTTTCACTTATTCTTTCATTCACCAACATTTTACTAAAATCCTCTCATGTGCCAGACATTGGGGTATGTGCCAAAGATCCTAAGATGAATAAGACACGGTTCCTGCCTTCAAGAAATTTATAATGCAAAATAAGTACAAAATAATCTAAATGCTATACTTGAAGATGGCAGATGTATAGAATGGAACAAAATGATAGACCAGAACAGGTTGCAAAGCACGTAACCCCCAGTCATGTATATTCATAGAGAGTTTTGTGCATAAGTGGCCCCTTTTTTTTTAACTTTGGGAGGTTTAATGAAGTGTGAGAATCATACTGGATTCAGGAGATTATATGCGGGGTGACAAGATTAGCATATAAAAAGACTGTAGGTGAGTATGGCATAGGTATTAAATGAGAAATTCAAATATTATTCATTGCTCCAGGAGTTTAGAGAAGGCAAAGATTTCTGCCCTAATTGATCAGAGAAAATATTATTTTAAATGAACCATAAAATATTAGTAAGAAGTAAAAAAAGTATGTATATGTGTGTTCCCATGTTTTAGTGCTGGAGGTGAGCATGGGGAGCAGTGAGGAGGGCCTCCAGTCAGGAAATTAGCACAAGCGATGTGATATCTCATCAACAGTGAACAAGCTATCTGGTAGTCAGTGCAGGGAGAAATGACACGAACTACAATTGTTCAAGCAACAACAATTCCATTTATAATTGCACCAAAAAAAAAAAATAAGATATCTAGGAATAAACCTAACCAAAGAGGTGAAAAACCTGTACTCTGAAAACTATAAAACACTGATGAAAGAAACTGAAGATGATACAAAGAAATGGAAAGGCATTCCTTGCTCATGGATTGGAAGAATAAATATTGTTAAAATGTCTATACTACCCAAAGCAATTTACACATTTAATGCAATCCCTATCAAAATACTGATAGGATTTTTCACAGAGCTAGAACAAAGAATCTTAAAAATAGTATGGAAACACAAAAGACCCCAAATAGCCAAAGCTATCTTGAAAAAGAAGAGCAAAGCTGGAGGCATCACAATTCTGGACTTCAAGTTATATTACAAAGCTGTAGTAATCAAAACAGTATGGTACTGGCACAAAAAATAGACATATAGATCAATAAAACCGAATTGAAAACCCAAAAATAAACCCACAACTATATGGTCAACGAATCTTCAACAAAGCAAGAGAGAATATCCAATGGGAAAATGACAGTCTCTTCAACAAACAGCATTGGGAAAACTGGACAGCAACATGCAAAAGAAAGAAATTGGACCACTTTATTATACCATACACAAAAATAAATTCAAAATGTATTAAAGACCTAAATGTGAGACAGGAAACCATAAAAATCCTAGAAGGGAATACAGGCAGTAACCTCTTTGACATCAGCCATAGCAACTTATTTCTAGATATATCTCCTGAGACAAGGGAAATAAAAGCAAAAATAAACTATTGGGACTACATCAAAATAAAAAGCTTCTACATAGTGGAAAAAACAATCAATAAAACTAAAAGGCAGCCTACGGAATGGGAGAAGATATTTGTCAATGGCATATCTGATAAAAGGTTAGTATCCAGAATATATAAAGAACTTGTAAAACTCAACACCCAAGAAACAAATAATCCAATTTAAAAAAGGGCAGAAGACATGAACAGACATTTTTCCAAAGAAGACATACAGATGGCCAACAGACATCTGAAAAGATGCTCATCATCACTCATCATCAGGGAAATGCAAATCAAAGCTACAATGAGATATCACCTCACACCTGTCAGAACGGGTAAAATCAAAAGCACAAGAAATAATAGGTGTTGGCAAGGACGTGAAGAAAAAGGAACCCTCTTGCACTATTGGTGGGAATGCAAACTGATGGACTCTGGAGAACAACATGGAGGTTCCTCAAAAAGTTAAAAATAGAATTACCCTCCAATCCAGTAATTACACTATTAGGTATTTATCCAAACAATACAAAAACACTAATTCAAATGGGTACATGCACCCCTATGTTTATAGCAGCATTATTTACAATAGCCAAATTATGGAAACAGCCCAAATATCTATCAGCTGATGAATGGGTAAAGAAGATGTGGTGTATATGTATGCAATGGAATATTACTCAGCCATCAAAAAGAATGAAATCTTGCCATTTGCAAGGATGTGGGTGGAGCTAGAGAGCATAATGCTAAGCTAAATAAGTCAGTCAGAGAAAGACAAATACCATATGATTTCACTCACATGTGGAATTTAAGAAATGAAACAGATGAACATGGCGGTGGGGGGAAGAGAGAGAAAGAGAGAGAAACCAAGAAACAGACTCTGAACTATAGAGAACAAACTGATGGTTACCAGAGGGGAGGTGGGTTGGGGGATGGGTGAAATAGGTGACGGGGATTAAGGAGTGAACTTGTCATGATGAGCACAGGGGGATGTATGGTAGTGTTGAATCACTATATTGTATACCTGAAACTAATATAACGGTATAATTTAACTAACTGGAATTAAAATAAAAACTTTTAAAAAATAGGATATACTACCTGGGCCTACTCAGTAGTTTAATAAAACAAAAACACAAATTTTAATGAAAAAAATGTATAAAAAATAAAAAATAAATAAAATTGTTCAAGCAGATTGGGATCAGACTGGAGAGAGCCTTCACGTCAGGAAAAAAGTTTGGATTTTTATTCCGTAGGTAATAGAGTATTACTGAGGATGACGGGTGAGAAGCATGGAAAAGTAATCCAGTAACTAAGGATAAATTAGAAGACTTCTCACTAATACATCTAAAGAAATTATTTAAATGTCTAGTGTGAACTTTAAATATGCCTAGTGAAATGGTAAGCTTCTAGAGGATAATACCATGTGCCATATTTTTCTTTTAACTTCCCATATGTCCTAGCACTGTTCTATACCCATATAAATGCTTAATGTGTGTTACTTCAATGAATGAATGAATGAAATCTTTTTGTTAAACGAACATCAGTAGTCTGGCAAGTGTGAATCTACATCCTCTGTGTGCCCTATTAAGGTTAGAGGCTATGCTGCTGTCCCATGGAAGAGAGGACCTTGTGATAAGAAATGAGGAGAAACTAACTACATTGACTACCACCCACATGAGATTTGTCCCTCATGTCATTTTCCATTGGTTGGTCTCTTTCAGCCTCCACAGCTCTAATTTCACTAATAAGAGAATATGTACATTACCAAAGACATTCCGTTTTCTACAGACATGTTTTTTACTCTTTCAAGAAAGCTGTTCAGATTTCATGATCATCTGGCTACCCAATACTGAAAATCTGTCAAACCCCAAGTTTGAAACCCAGCTCTGTCTAGGCTTGCTCTGTACCCTGGGAGCCCAGGTGAATTCAGAACAGTGAGACGCCTGCCTATTCCCAGTCCAGACGGCAAGAAGGATGACCCCTGGCCCCCTTGTGATCAGAGGCCAAATCCAGCTCCTCAGAGGAGTGCTTCTCTTCTAAGTCACATGCTACCAAAGGTGGCCCAAATACGCCATTCCTTCTGAGAGATATTTCAAACCCTCTCTTGACCTGACAGTGCTTACTAACTAGTTTCAATGTGAAGTTTAGGCACAAATGGTCTCATTAAACAAGTCTAGACTCTTCTCTAAAAAAGGTTGTATTAATATCTCAGCATCCTTAGGTTATTTTGAGTAATCCGATCCTCATCAAAGAGTATTCATAAAGTTACACAAGAATGTGGCACGATCCCAGTGATGCTCTGCCAGTGTATATGAATTATGGGTGTGTCTATATGTGTAAATGCTTTCATGAAGAGCACATAGTCATAAAATTGCAGTGTTCTCAAGGATTCTAAACAGTTAACTTATTGGAGTTTTGGTACTTTGTCTCTCAATGAAATTCAGAGGACACTTCTAGTTAAAAGGATTTCAATTCTAAAAGCACTTGAGCCTTCATAATACACTTCTTGAGACAATATCAATATATATTACTTAATATTACCCTGTGCTTATGCTTTATGTTAATAGAAGACTTTTGTTTTTTAATTTAGGAAAGAAAAGTTGAATCCACTAAGGTATCCAAGGGCCCACTGGAGCAGAAGGTGGAGCTGAGCATCACTCTGGCAAATCAGAGGTTCAAGGCAGAACTCACTGACTCCCAGTCCCAGTATTATCAGGAGCTGGCAGCAAAGTCTCAACTCCAGGTAAGTGAACCCACCCCACACAACCACAGCCCGAGTCATGAATCAGAATCTGAGAGCCAGCAGGACCTAAACCATTTGAGCTAATAGTTCCAACTTCTTGTAACTAGGCCTTCATTTTTAACCATTAGAAAGAAATCAAAGGGGTGCCTGGGTGGCTCAGTTCCTTAAGCAACTGCCTTCGGCTCAGGTCATGATCCTGGAGTCCCAGGATCGAGTCCTGTGTCGGGCTCCTTGCTCAGCAGGGAGTCTGCTTCTCCCTCTGACCCTCCTCCCTCTCATACTCTCTCTCTATCATCCTCTCTCTCTCTCTCAATAAATAAATAAAATAAAATAAAGAAAGAAATCAAAAACTGCAATAGGTCCCAAAATGTTAGGGCAAAGGGATCTCTAGGAAAGTTTCTATTCTAGCTTCTCTATCTTAAAAGTCACTTACATTTAGGTTTTCTTTAAATATTAGTAGGTTTTTAAATCTCCTTTAACTGAAAGTCACTAAGCACATATTCTAAAGCTCTAAAATGTTCATGTAAGCACCAACTACGGAATATGCTGGGTTGAAATACGAATTTTTAACCCATATTTGTCTTACATAATATTTCCACTTTTGCGGTTTAATGCAATTTCAAGCCCTGACATTTTTCATGGGTGAAAGTGAAGGGCAGTTATGTTGTCCATGCCATCCAGTAAACTCAGGAGCTATCCCAAGATATCTCTTCCATCTCTGACCATCATCAGCTCTGCCCACCTCTTCACTTGCCACAGGAGGAATCCAAAGCTCTGTGCTGACCGTGGCTTCTATACACCATGATAAGAGTCCTGCCTTCCTTTCCAGCCTCATCTTAACACTAGCTCCTACCCATCCCCCTCCTTTGCACACTACAGGACATACAAACTGCTTGCAAATCTCTTCTCACCTTTAGCCTTTCCATATGCTGCCCCCTCTGTCTTCGGTGTCCTTTCCCTGGGTTTCATTTTACAAACTTCATCAAGGAAATTTCTCTCCAGCCATCCTGAGTTCAGTACCTCTCCTCTGAGCTAACACACAGTACCCACTGCTGTCACAGCAATTATCACCCTGTCTTGAGATTGTTTGTTTACACGTCAATGGCCTTTCTTGTGTCCCTTTCTCCCTCTTCATCTCTTCATCCTCACTGCCTTCAGGCTTTGGGTGTCCCCTTGAGGGCAGGAACAGTTTCTTTATCTCTGAGGACTTACCTGCTAATAAGGAGTTGGGATGCACTTAACTATTCAGTAATTGTAGAAATGCAACTGAAAAATAGATGCATTCATAAGATAACATAACCATGACCTACATTTATGGATAACCCAAGCATCTCACACAGCATGGCCAGGGAACCCACAGGCCCCTATTTCTCATATGTGGAGAATTCAAGGCTTACTTCCTCTCAACTGGAGAGAAGATGAATAAGCAAAAATTTTAAACCTCCAACCACTCCCTGCATCACCATTCAGTCAATAAAATGTAAAGAATCATTTCTACAAACTTCAAAGAGAAAGCATCAGCATGGGCTGTTTATGAACCAGAGAAGTACTTAGACATGGATTATTAGATAGAATGAATTAAAGAATAGTCCTTTAACTTCCTATTTGTTCTTTGAAATATTCTTTTCAGAAAGTTCTTAGTATAGTCAGAGTATCTTCAAAATTGGAGAGTTGGCCAAGATTCAAACCCAAGCAGCCTGGCACCAGAACCCCTGTTCTTAACTGTTATGCTATACTTCCTACTTTTTCCCAAACAAATATCTAGGAGGCGGGGATTTTTGTACCGTCATCAAATAAACATGTCCATTCTAGACTCTGAAAACCTCATTAGCCAAAAGATGATGTCTTGCTCAGTCTGTTCCGGAGACCCATCACATCAGTCCTACTGGTTCCTCCGCATGGTTGCTGGCTTCTCTGAAATGGAGCCCCTCTGCTTAGAGCATCTGTTCCCTTTCCAGGCTCCTGAGCAATCCAGACCACCTAGCAGCCTGCCAACACATAACTAAGCAGCTCCACCGCAGCCCATACGAGCATCAGCACAGCCATTCAGGCCTCATCAGGAATTAACGGACAGTGCTTTGCAGTAATTTAATTTCCACAATAAACCTAATGAGCAATTTAATACAAATGTCAAAAGGAATGCTTAGTTGTTGTCTGAATGCTTTCTCCTGTGCAAACATTCAAGAGAACTCAACACGGCTGCCTTTTTATAGCCCCGTTAACATACGTTCCAGCAGAATCAAGGAGGCCCCTGTGCAGTTAGTATTATTAATAAGGTTAACTGGGCACTTAATTAGCAATTTAGTGGTTAGCACTCCATGATTGGAAGGTCCCTAGAAGATTATTTAGCAGAATTAACTGGAGGTCTTTGTCATCTCCTCCCCAGATGTCTTCTGCACTCTCCTAAGCAGAGCTGACTCTTAATCAATCATAGGCAGGTTCACAAAGAGGACATGGACAATAAGCAGAATTCCCCTCCACCAGAGCCAGGGCTGTGGAGCACTCCTGGAGGGCGGGACGGCTCTCCCTGGGGATGTTCCCTGCTGCCCGTGCTGCAGCTGTGGGCTCCTCTGGAAGCATTCTGTGCTTGATTGATTGTTTTCATCCGTATAACAGCATGTCTGATACCCTGGACAAGAAAGAGGAACAAGTCAGGGTCTGAATTTTCTTCTCCAGAAACTGCTGCTCACACTTAAACGTTCAGTCCCAGGTGTTGTTACTGGAATGGCATGACAAATGCCTTGTGGCCCCAGAGCCATTTGTCACAGGAGGCCAGAACAGACCTGAAGCACGTACATAGCTCCCTCCTACCTGCCCCCGTAATAAAGACCAGATCCACATCACCTAAACTCCTAGCTCTCCTCTGTTAAACCGGTGGTGGGGATGGTAGTGGAGGCACAGAAACATTACTCAGGCTCCCTGCCCTGGACCCCTAAGGGGACCCTCACCCTGTCCTTCCCCCCATTGAGTCTTTCAAAAACAACTGACCGAAGGCTTGCTCTGTCTGCTCTTGTCAGGCTCCATGGTATGTGGCCACTGAGGAAGTAAAAGAAAATTGGGCTATTAAGGAGCTAATAATCCAGTAGGAGAGAGAAAGACTAAGTAAATCAATAATGCAATCGCATCGACTCTTTGCCCATTGTGTGTCAGGCACTGATTAGTTATTCCTTACAGGAACCTCACAATATAGGTATTGTTATCCCTTTTTGGCTGAGGAGATCAGATGCAGAAAGACTGAGCAATAAACTCAAGGCCTTACAGCTAGAAAGTAGCAGAACCAGTATTTAAACTCAAGACTAGGGGCGCCTGGGTGGCTCAGTCGTTAAGCGTCTGCCTTCGGCTCAGGTCATGGTCCCGGGGTCCTGGGATCGAGCCCCGCATTGGGCTCCCTGCTCAGGGAAGCCTGCTTCTCCCTCTCCCACTCCCCCTGCTTGTGTTCCCTCTCTCACTGTGTCTCTGTCAAATAAATAAAATCTTTAAAAATAAATAAATAAATAAATAAACTCAAGACTATACAGCTACCTCACCACCCAAAAGCTAGCCTACCTTCATCACTGCAGTTACTAAATACTCAGGGGATTAAAACTATTCTTAACATTGATGAAAGAAAATATGATTTAGGAGGCAAAGCAGTCTGCTGGAAAAAGAAATCCGTGATGGATTTCAAAGCCCAGTGTAAGTGATTTAGGGATTATCTGTGCATCACTGCCCTAGTCCTTGGCATAGATAATGTAGAGTCAGCAGTAATTTTAGGTACAGTGACAATGCAGTGGCATGTCGATGAGTTTAGAGAATGAAGAGAGGCACTCAAGTCAATTAAACAAAATTTGCTGAGTCCCTACTATGTGGAAGATGACCTGCTAGGTATGAGAGGGAGGGAGATGAAGACGAGTAAATAAGACATGGTCCCTGAGCCCAAGGAGCATAATCTCAGTGAGGGAGACATCATGCAGCTCATAGACTGTTTTATGGGACATACTGTAATAAGTTCTAGAGTACTAGGGAGAAGAAATAATTGAGCCTGACTTCAGGGCTCTACAGATGCTTTTCAATAGAGAGTGTGTTTGGGGTACCTGGGTGGCTCAGTCGGTTAAGCATCTGCCTTTGGCTCAGGTCCTGATCTCAGGGTCCTGGGATTGACCCTTGCATAAGGCTTCCTGCTCAGCAGGGAACCTGCTTCTCCCCCTGCTCATGCTGGCTGCTCTCCCTCTCCCCCACCCTTCTCTATCTCTCTCAAATAAATAAATACTATCTTTAAAAAAATAAAGAATGCATTTGAGCTGGCTTTGAAAGATGGGGGCATGGGAAGTCAAAAAGCAAAAGGTAGACATTGCATCTTGGGCTAAAGGGGAAAAAAGTCATAGAAGTCTGGAGGAAGTATATGTTGTGTTTGAGGAGAGATAGGCCTTGGTTTAGTGAGACTAGAGGATCCAATATTGACCAAGGGGGTAATGATGGCAGGAAGAACAAATGATAAAGTACTTGGGGAATGGAGGCTGTAGATTGTGGAGGGTCTTAAATGCCATTCTAAAGAACTGGACCTTCTTCAAAGGGCAATGCAGCCCATCAAGGGATTTTTAGTAAAGAACAACAGATATGGAATGATTACCCTTGGAAATAAAAATGTGGTCAAGGAGACATCTCCTCCTTTTCCTCCTGCCCCAATATATCCCTCCCCCAAAACTTCTCCTTCAGCAATATAGGAGGGGAGATGCGAAGGGTACGCCTGCCATGGGAATAAGAACATGGTGGAAACAAAATGTATAAGGGATTCAAACCACCAGGAGTTGGTGACTGGATGTGAGGGGAACAGAAGGAAGGTATTAGGGTTGCTGGGTTTTCTGGCATGGAAGATGCACAATAAGTGTTTATGAACCTGACTAGGATAGAGAGCCCAGGAGGAAAGGCAGATTTGGAAAGAAGAGAATGACTCTGATTTGGACATATTTAATTATTGACCAAGTTGGGATATTCATGTGTAGAACTCAAAGCTAGGTCTCAGGTGATCACTGAAGCCATGGGAGAAAATGAGATCCCCCGAGGAGAGGCAGAGGAGGGTGGGCACAGGGAAGAAAGGACCAGGTCCCTGCTTACATGTTCAGCCTCACTTTCACCCTGAGCTCCCCTCCAAGCTTCACTACTAATGAATCCCTTCCTCTCTTGCCTCCCAGCCTGCACAGGAGTGAGCTGGATGGGGCAGTGCCCATCGATGTGGCAGTGTGTCCCCAGAGCCTAGCAGGATCCCTACAGTCAAGCTTACTGAATAAGTGGGAGAGTGAGATAAGGAGGCTGAGAATGCAAACTTCCAGTCTATATTTGAAGTAGAGAGTGCAGACAAGAATAAGATGGAGTAAAGAAGACTAAGAAAGTGGTCCTTGAGATAGAAGAAGAACCAGAAGAAAAAGCAGGCACACTGTGGAAGAGGAATGGAAAATGCCAGTGGATTTGGAGAGAGCCAGGAGGCAACAGCCTGGAGAAAATCCTCCCTCCTGGGCAAAGTCAGAGGCAAAAGCCAGACTGTAGTGGGTCAGGAGTCATTGAGTATAGCAATTGTAAAATATTCTGATAATATGCCTCATTAGCAAGGTCAAACTAATTAAGAAAATTTATTGTAAAGTCCACATAAATCTACATGTGAATCTAACTTGTTAGAGTCTGCTTGTACCATTTTATTTAGTTACAGCACCATTTTAATTTTAGTAATCTCTTTAACATTATATTTTCCAAATCATCTCATTCAACTCAGAAAATATGATAGTTATTCTGTGTATAAATAAAAATACTGTAGCCAAAAATATTTCTTCCAAGTACCACCTTAAAGTTATTTCATATTCTGTTTAAAGTAACCATTAAAGTGGGTCAGAACTACCCAATTGCAGCTTTTTTTTTTTTTAAGAGAAAGAGAAAGTGTGGGGTGGGGAGAGGCAGAGGGAGAGGGAGAAAGAGAATCTTAAGCAGGCTCCACTGAGATCATGACCTGAGCCAAAATCAAGAGTCCGATGTTTAAATAACTGAGCCATTGAGGCACCCCCAATTGCAGCTTTTAAATAAACAGCAAAACACTTTCCTCTGGATTTCAGAAAAAATAACTAAGAACAAAGAGTTTGGCCTCAATAGTTGCTTCACTTTTCCATTTTCATATTTTTCCCCAAACTCATCAAAAGTGTTTAGGCTTTTTTTCAGTTAGGCAAGATCTGACCCAGTAGAGCCAAAGAGTGTTTCATAAATTTCTTTCTTTCTACAGATGGAAAAGGTATTTAAGAAACTTCCAGGATTCAAAGAAATCCATGTGCTAGGATTTAGGTAAGTAAGAGAATCGGACTCTTCTCAAATTTTAAATTACTTCCTCCCTGTCCTTTTTTAAAAGCAGTGTCATGAGGATTATAAGGTTCTTCTCCACCCCCCCCCCGTCCCCGAGTTGTTTAGCCCTGCCAGATCCTGAAAACTGAATACATTTCAGATAAAGCAATTGTCTAATTAGAACATGACTCTAGGTGATTTTTTTAAGGAATAACACAAGAGCCGTATTCCTTCCTTCCTCTGGAGTCAGAAACACTGCTCTCTATAGAGAGCTCATCTGCTATCCTTGGCAATGTTATTAATGAACCTCTTAGGAGAACACCTCAGTAGAGACAGGTCAAAAGAAGAAGCAATTAGTTACCTTGGTGTCTGATTGCCTGGTTCCCTGTTGAATGTTAAATATCATCATCATTGAAACAAATCAGGCCGACCCTAGGGAATCAGGTGAAACTAATAAAAAGTAGTACCTATGGGGATAAGGAAGTTGAAGGAATGGGGTAGAAAGGGACAGAGGCGGAAACAATACTTCCCAAAATATACATTTTATTATCATTTTGACGTCTGAGCTATAGTAATGCATTACCACGCAACAATTATTAAATTACAATTTTAAATAAAGGAAATGAAATTAAAGAATAGTGCCATGCCAAAGTGGGGTTGAGTTATGTTCCCCTGGCTTCCCCACAAGCAGGCCTATATCCATTAACATCTCAACACTATAATCTGGGTGCGTTCATGATTTTTGACAAGCAGTTTTGCATCCTCTTTCTAAGTTCTCATTCAAAACATCTACAGGCAGGGTCATAATATATTTTTTTAAATGTGCCACAGGGTATATGTCAGCCCTGGTGTATCAGAACGTGACTCCCTGCCCCAAGGGGGATTTGTAAAGTGGGTAGAGAAGGCCTCCGCCAAAGTACTTCCTGGCCCCTCCACCGTCTATTGTCTTAAAGCTAGAAGGTGCCCAGAACAAGTTTCCATACTCATGAAGAATAGCTTCTGGGCGATCTCCACCGGTTCTTTCCTTTCAAAGCTATCAGGCCTCTCTGATTTGTGTGACTCCAGAGGAAGAAAGTATTGAAAAGTGGAAGTTATAAAAGATGAAAACTTTAATATGTACCACAGCAGACTCATTTTTCTTTATTTCAAGATGCTGCTCCACAATATTCCATGTGAAATCAGATGGATTAGAGAGAAATAAAAGGTGATAGTAGAATATTCTGCATAGATGGCAAGGTCTTCTGGACAAGCCACTGCAGCTAAAGAGCAGATGTTTCATTTAAAGCTGAAGGAAATGATACGAATAGTCCTCTTGGTGAATGTTCAAATTGCTCATTAAGCCCTCCCTTCAAATAAATGAAAAACTAATAAAAAAAATCTATTTCAGAAGAAAACAAAAATGTTAGGATGATGCAATTTCACAAGGTAAAAAAGGTATATCCACTGAAGCTGCATTTTCCCCATGTGTTTATCTCTGTAAGACTTTATTCTTATTTCTGCAAAATATGCTTATAAAGTAAATTTGACCATATATTCCCAATGATTTCCATTATGGAATGAATATTTAGTCTCCCAGAAAACATTTTGACCCTGAATATTATAAACAATATGCTTACGAGTGTGGCAAGCTTTTAATCATAACTAACAGTGCTCAAAATATAGTAAACTTAGTATGAAGGAAATTACTTTCTCATGGAGCCAGATCCCCTAAAACCCTATTAATCTCCGATACTGTCTTCGTGTCAGCTCATTTGTATAAAACCTGATCTACAATTTAATAAGTATGTTTTTTATTAGTGACCTTATTTGATTCTCCCAACACAACTGGGAAGTTTTGAGGACATCTATTATTAACACAATGATAAGGACGAACAGAAAAAGATCCACTTTAAATACTGCTTTATCTCTTACAGCAAATATGGGAAACTATTAACAATCATTTAATTTGGTTGGAGGGTATACCCCTTCAAAGACTAGTTCATAAATGTCCATAGCAGCTTTATTGGGAACAGCTGAGGACTGGAAACAACCCAAACGTCCATCAACAGAGCAATAGATAACACAAATTGTGGACTATTGTTACAGTAGACTACTACTCAGCAGAGGAAGGAACTATTAGAATACACAACAATGTGGTTTCATCTCAGAATAACTATGTTGAGTGAAGGAAGCCAGAGGAGAGGGGTATATTATTATTCCATTTATGTGTAACTCTAGAACACACAAACTAATCTGTAATGACAGGAAACAGATCAGTAGTTGCTTGGGGAGGGTGAGACAGAAAGGATAGGAGGGAAGGGTTTCAAAGGGGCATGAGTGAACCTTTGGGAGGAATTAATTTGATTGTGGCAATGGTTCACAGGTATATAGTATCAAACTTAGATCAAATTGTACACCTTCAACATGTGCAGTTTGTTTCATGACAACTGTATTTCAATGCAATAGACTTTTTTTCTAAATGAGCAGGACTAGGGTTTTGGCTCAGGGAGCCCTGCCTCTCTCCAAACTACAAGCCACTGCTAAAAGAAGCAGGGGGCAGGCCCTAAATGAATGTCTAGTTGGTACAGAATTCCCTCCCACAGAGCAGCCCCAATGATAAAGTCATAGATTCTCCCCTGTTTCCAGAGAAGGAAGCAGTCTATTTCAGTCATATTTTATCAAGGGATAAAAGTTAAATGAATTCAGGGGCGCCTGGGTGACTCAGTCGGTTAAGCGTCTGCCTTTGGCTCAGGTCATGATCCCAGGGTCCTGGGATCAAGTCCCACATGGGGCTCCTTGCTAAGCAGGGAGCCTGCTTCTCCCTCTGCCTGCCGCTCCCCCTGCTGTGAGCTCGCTCATGCGCGCACTCTCTCTCTATTTCTCTGACAAATAAATAAATAAAATCTTAAAAAAAAATAAAGTGATAAATAGAAATCAAATAACAACAAACAAAATAGATAAGTAAAACACCTTTTAGAAAAGCTTAACTTGTATCATTAACTTCAGGTGGGGACAGCAGAAGCGTGGGTTTAGAATTTGATACAGTGTTTTAAAAACACCCCAAGTTGGGGGCGCCTGGGTGGCTCAATCGTTAAGCGTCTGCCTTCAGCTCAGGTCATGATCCCAGGGTCCTGGGATCGAGCCCCAGCATCGGACTCTCTGCTCATAAGGGGAGTCTGCTTCTCCCTCTCCCTCTTCCTCTGCCTGCCACTCTGCCTACTTGTGCTCTCTCTCTCTGTCAAATAAATAAATAAAACCTTAAAAAAAAAAAAAGTTAAATGAATTCATACTCCAGGCAGAAAGAGCAGCAACACAAATCCCATCACAGGTGTAGAATGTCTTTGTCAACAAATATCATCTGAAATGTAAGATGAGAAAGCTGAATATAGCTTTTAAACTGAATTCATATATATGCCCAGAGGAGTCCAAAATCTATTTGTCAGTTTGATGACCAAATGGCCTCTTTTGAGGCATAAGCAGGTAGTGGCATAGAAAACGGGCCCAGGCTTGAAGTCAAGCAGGACAGGGTTTGAATCCTGGCTCTGCCACCTTCCAGCTAACAACTTCCCTTCTGTATATGTGTTCCTTTTTCTGTAAAATGGGGATTATGTTGTTGAAAAGATTAAATGAGGATGCATATAAACTGTCTGGTGCAGACCACCCACTCAGTAAACAGGTGTTTATTTTTCTTGCAACCTGTTCCATGATGAATTGTGCTATTCCCTCAATGCTTACTGATTAAAGCAATTTGAAAAATAATCAGTCAACAAAACACCAGTTCCAGTGTCCAGTCTCAGATAAATTACTTCCAGGATTAAATTAATCATTTAATGCTACTCAGAGGGTGAGAAATTCATTTATAAAATACTTTCTTTAAAAACTTCCTGGCACCAGCACCACCCAAAATGTAAGGTGTTTATGATATATTTGCCACCTCTTTGGGAAGAATATGAAGAAATCAAAGAGTTTACAAAGAGAACCAAAAGTACATGTTGAACACTACATTTGAGACAAATGATGTACTATATGTTGGCTAATTGAATTTAAATTAAAAAAATAAAAATAAAAAGTATATACAATCTTTGAACAAAGATTGAATCCTAATCAGAAACATCATATAATTCTGTTTACTTCCTGAGATTCATATGGCTCTCAAAATTCCCATCCAAATTCTGATGGCAGTTTATGTATTTCCTTCAAAGTTCTGGGCAAACATGGAAGACAATGGAAAGAAATCTCTCTCTCTCTCTCTCTTTCTCTCTCTCTGTGTCTCTCTCTGGTATATGAAATGATTCAGTAAATGTCTTAATAAATCTCCTAAAAATTCTTTCTCCCTTGCATGTTCCCATTGCATATGGTGAAATGAAGACCAAAGAAAGGAAGAGATGGGTAATTTGGATTTCCTGATGTTTTGAAATATAGTACCTTTTCCCCCACAAATTTATATGCTGATCTTTTACAAATAATTTTTACATACAAAGTCTGGGATAAGCCAATGACTTTTTATTGGTGTCTTATTTAAATGAGAGTAATTGATCAGTTACTCAGTAGTAGAAAAAAACTCCAGTCAAAATCACTACATGAGATAAGTATGTAAACAATGATTTGATCAGTGAAAGTGTATTCTGTAAAACTCAAAATCTAATTAGAAAAACATAAAAACACATTTCTGTGAGGCAAGCATGTTTTAACAATTTCTTAAATATCATTTGTGATGGGAAATTGTCTGTCTGAATGCACACTTGTACAAGCAGCCAACCTAAGTCTGGAATAAAGCAGAGAAACTAATTTGCTCCTTGGTTCCAAGGTCAGTTTGAATTGGGACAGAGCCCACTATACCTTGGAGAGCTCAGTAATAAGAATCCAGCTTTGGCTTCTCTAACTGACTAGTGAAATAATGAACTGTAGACTCTGACTGATTGTGTGGCCCAAAGAACTGCCAGGAGTACACAATATCAGTTCCTGTGGCTTTAAAATACTTGTGCATCTCTCTGTGTGGATTTATGGCATAAACTAAAAGGTAAACCTGATCCGAGAAGAAATTTATGGAGATTCCTATTTCATTTTTATATGCAAAAAGGCATCAAGTCAATAAATACAATAATAAATATGGTTAATTATATACTACTTCCCTTTCTCTTTTCTCACACATTTCTTCTAAGATATCTTAAAAGCAGCTTGAGGGAAAAAAATTATGTTTGATTTAGAATTTTGTTTTTTAATTAAAAAATATTTCTTGAAAGAACTAGAAGAGAAATAACGTTAAGAATCGAAGCTTTGGGACGCCTGGGTGGCTCAGTCGGTTAAGTGTCTGCCTTCGGCTCAGGTCATGATCCCAGGGTCCTGGGATCGAGCCTCATATTGGGCTCCCTGCTCAGTGGGGAGCCTGCTTCTCCCTCTCCCTCTGCCTGCCGCTCCCTCTGCTTGTGCTCTCTCTCTATCAAATAAATAAATAAAATAAAATAAAAAGAATTGAAGCTTTGACTTGGTTATGATATGTACATACTACTGTCCCACTGCTGTATCCTATGCTGCTACTTCATAGACCCTCCTACAGAAGGCTATTTGTAGAAAAAAGGACAATTCATCCTTCTTGCTGATTGGCACTTCATGACTTTACTTATATGCCACCAAAAACACTGGTGAATAATAGCAACTCTTGACAATTAATACTTTTTCATAAAGAATAAAGTAAAAATCTATGATCACTTGATTCAGTTAGTAGCCAGTCTTCAAGCTGGACTTAACCCCCATCCTGGCATTCCGTCTAACAACTAAAATATATGTCAGTTCTTCTTCCACATTTCAAATTTTTAATAAACATTTAAACTAGTTTTGAAGTGGGGTATTCTTTAAGAGCCCATCAGGAAAGAGGATGAAGCTGTCAGAAATCTTTATAGCAACATAATTACTCTCTTTATAAAGCATGTAACAATGGGTTTGGGTGGAATGTGTCCTCTGCTGTCTACAGTTCAAGCTCCATAGAGACACGACTTATGGCCATCTTTAAGAGAGACAGTGCAGAAGTAAAAAGCCCTGCAAGTGACCTCCTGTCTTTTGATTCCAACAAAATTGAGAGTGAAGGAGTCCCTCATGGAATGATGGAGGAGGACAAGCAACCAGAAATCTATCTGACAGCTTTAGACCTCAAAAAACTGATCAGCAGAGCACTGGAGGAAGACAAATCCTTGGATGTGGAAACAATTCAGTTCGCTGATGGTCAGTTGGTGATTTCATAGTTCTGGTTTTATCCTCATTCCAACAGCAACATTAGTAGGTGCGAATGTCTCATGGTCACTATCATTTCAACTTGGGCCTTATAGAGTCAATCATTTCTGTGACAGGAACATCATGAGTGGTGTAATTTCTCTTTCCTCACTCCAACCTGCATGTCATTTGATGAGCTCTTGGTGCTACTTCACATCAAGAATAGGTCTAGGAGAAGCCCAGAGTTTCAGTTCAGTAGTTAGCCACAGTCATCCGGTGGAGTCCAGGTGTAAAGAAGCACCCATGGACAGTTCTGTTCCATTGGCACAACCGAAACAGATTCCCTCACCTAGTAAATTGGTTGAGTCCCAGAAGGAAACAGATGGCCATTCAAATTGGGATAGCATGAGGAGAGTTTGATAAAGGAACGGTTTATAAAGTTTTTCCTAATACACAAAAGAACAGGAAAGTTCCCTAGTGCTTGAGCAGCAAGACCCATTACTGCCTCTAGGCATGAAGGGTTTGCCTAATGATCTAAGCCTTCCCAAGACCAGAGGGCAAAAAGCCATTGATATAGTCCATATAAATCAACCTCCTAGGGCATAGAATAGCAGGGAGAGGAGAGGAGAGTGGATCTAAAAAATTCAACAAGATCATCAGGCACACTCAGGATTCTCAGAGGGTATCTGGAGGGACCCATGAGCCTAGAACTCCTCATTATGCCCAGCACTCTTGGCATAATAGATGAACACTAGAAATGCTATTTTAGTATGACACAGCATGAAACTGGCATTCTCTGTTAGTTCTATTTCTCTGGTTTAGATAGTCAAACTCAACACTGGAAAACATCAAAATGTCCCTTGGGACAACATGCAGGGCAAAGGAATCTCCTAGGCAAGAAAAGGTGAGCTTCAGACTCATCTTAGAGATTATCTGGTACTCTGGTTTGTCTCTGTTCAACCTTCTTGGATATTCTGAGAATCAGGCTTCAAGGTGGAAGTAGGACTCTGCAAATGGTCCTTGGTTCCAGTGTTATTCTAGCTATTTCTTTTTGTGAGCTTCATTATATCTTCATCCCCACTGGCCTAGCCAATCAACTTGCCTGCCTGATCCAAATCTATACAATAAAACTAAGCACCCTAAAAATCCTCTTTAATAACTGTTCTTATCACATAAACATATAAGATGTACCCCTTGCATCTGTCCTCCAATATATCATTCCCATCAATGACCATTACTTTATGTGATGCTGATTTCTTAATGATTTGCTATTCCAGTCCTTAAAAACTGATTATTGCCACATTTTTCAACCCTGACTGTTTTAGTGCCCAACCACAAAAGAAAAAAAGAAAAAGAAAGAAATACTCAAACCTTGTGATTTTTCACCTGCAGAATTTTTTGGGTCAATGCCAGGCTTCGATCCTGACTTCCACTCAGTGCTGCCTACACTCCTTGCTGATATCACAAAGGTAAGTGAGTTTGTTGTTCTTTTGTTCTTCAAATAGGAACAAAGCCTCAAAAGCTTCCATCAAAAAAAAAAATCAGTTTAAAGACTGAACAGAGCAAAATCTTCTTTGCAATGCTAATTACAATTTTTTTCTGTCTTATAGGCAATACTTTGTTGCCCACTTCCTGTTTCTGTATTAATAAAATATGATACAACTTGCATTTCAAATACCCTAAAATTCAAAGTTTTCTTCAATGTTGTTAGATTTTTGTTTCACTTAGTGTCAGGACTTGCTGTTTTGATAAAACAAACACATGTTCATGAACTGAAAAGAATACTTAAAGCAGAATATATAATTTAACATTGACTTTTGGAAATAGATATAAACATAAGCATATTTATAAGCTTGTTCTTAAGTCTTAAGGTCTTACCTGTATTTATTTATGAGGATTTCATAAGTATAATGTCTTCAAAATAAAATAATAAATTCTGGGATGCCTGGGTGGCTCAGTTGGTTAAGCGGCTGCCTTTGGCCCGGGTCATGATCCCAGGGTCCTAGGATCAAGTCCCACATCGGGCTCCTTGCTCAGCAGGGAGCCTGCTTCTTCCTCTCTCTCCCTCTGCTTGTGCCCTCTCTGTCAAATAAATAAAATCTTTTAAAAAAATAAAATAAAATAATAAATTCTCTAATTTTTGTACTTCATTTAAAGCTATGTCCACTTAATTTATGCCAAGAGTTGTCACTGGGGTATTGAAGTGCTGACTAAGCTGTATTCCTTCTTTAAATGAAGGAATTCATAAATTCCAACATGATAGACAATTCAGAGTATTTCAGTTATTAGTTCACCCTACCCAGGCAGACTCAGCTAGCCAAGAAGCCAATTGATCATATTTTGCCACTATATCAATGCATGCTTTCCTTTCATGACAAATTTCTATATCAGAACCTATATCAGAATCCATAGTAGAAAAAAAAAAGAATCCCTAGTAGATTCAAGTCAACTACAAAATGATTGCTTAAATTTAAATAAAAGAAAAAATACAGAGTATAGCCCTTCTCACATACAGGGAAAGGTCACTTCTCAACATGTCTTTCTCAATTCATTCTTCAGGATGCTACTTTGAGTCCAGAACTTCCTCTTGGTCAATCCAGGCTTGAGACAGTGGGCAGAACAGGACACAGTATACCTGGTGAGTTTTTTTACCACAAAGTCTATGTTAGCTGACTACATCCTCTATGAGGAATCCCTCTATTACACTACCTCAAAGACTAGTGGTAAAGTCATTCCCAACCCAGGAGAAGGTTTCCTCATATCAGCATTTCCAAAAGAAGAGCAATCCATTGAACCACCCTCTTCTGAAGAGGAGGACACCCTCAGTGTCCTTCCCTCAGCTCTGGGCCCTAGGCTCACAGAGAGCACTGACAACACTTTCCCGATGGATCTGGTGAAAGAAGCTGAAACCAAAGCAGTACCAACTGCTGCCACACACACACAACAACCATCTCTACCAGGCTTTGAAACTTAGAGTCCCATCAGGACAAGGTAAGTCATAAGGGACAAGGGACTATGGCAACACAGTATTGGGCCTTTATAGTCAATATATGTATTCTGTTCACCATATACAGGCTGACCATTCATACCATCTGTTCTGCTACATAGGTTTCCTTAGTGTCAATTAGCTCATGTGTAATTGAAAAGTAAGGATGTCAGTAAACATTGAAATCCTCTAGGTTCACTTTTGAATTTCCAAAACTTCATTTTTGAAAAGTTCAACTTTATCACAGTTGAAAAGGAATTTTTAGCAATTTATGAAGACTTTAAGAAAAAAAATGAAAATTCTGCAGCAGAGTCTTTTTTTAGTGCAAGAAGGAGCTGATTTAGTGGCTTCAGGAATCCCTATGCTTTCCACTTTATATAGCTCTCTGGTGAAACTATACATAAAAATGTCTTTAAGGAAACATGAACCCCAGGACATAAGGCTAATAAGGATGAACTGTGATTCTAAGTGCAAATGACACAGGAGATTTGTTATAGCTGATTTCTTTTAATTTTTTTAATTCTTTTTAAAATTTATTTTTTTAATTCAAGTATCATTAACATACAGTGTTATATTAGTTTCAAGTGTACAATATAATGATTCAACAATTCTATATATTTCTCAGTGCTCATCAAGATAAATGTACTCTTACTCCCCATTATCTATTTCACCCATCCCCCCCATGCACCTCCCATCTGGTAACCAACAATTTTTCCTCTGTGTTTAAGAGCCTATTTTTTTGTTTGTCTCTCTTTTACTTAGTTCATTTGCTGTTTCTTAAATTCCACATAAGAGCTAAATCATATGGTACTTATCTTTAATATCTGATTTATTTCACTTAGCATTATACATTCTAGGTCTATCTATGTTATTGCAAATGGCAAGATTTCATTCTTTTTATGACTGAGTAATATTCCATTGTGTGTATGTATATATATATATATATCATATCTTCTTTATCCCTTCATCTGTCAATGGACACTTGAGTTGCTTCCATATCTTGGCTATTGTAAATAATGCTGCAATAAACATGGGGGTACATGTATCTTTTCAAATTAGTGTTTCCATTTCCTTTGGGTTAATGCCCAGTAGTGGAATTATTGAATCATATGGTAATTCTATTTTTAATTTTTTGAGGAAACTAGTGTTTTCCACAGTGGCTGCACCATTTTGCATACCCACCAACAATTCACAAGGGTTCCTTTTTCTCCACATCTTCTCCAACACTTATTATTTCTTGTGCTTTTTATTTTAGCCATTCTGACAAGTAGTCAGGTGATATCTCACGGTGGTTTTAATTTGCATTTCCCTCATCATTAGTGATGTTGAGCAACTTCTAATGTATCTGTTTGCAATCTGTATGTCTTCTTTGGAAAAATATCTATTCAGTTCCTCTGCCCATTTTTGTAATTGGATTATTTGGTTATTTTGGTGTTGTGTTGTGTAAGTTCTTTATGTATGTTGGATATTAACCCCCTATCGGATATATAACTTGCAAATATCTTCTTCCATTCAGTAGGTTGCCTTTTGTTTTGTTGATGCTTTCCTTCGTTGTGCAAAAGCTTTTTATTTTGGGTATACTCCCAATAGTTTAATTTTGCTTTTGTTTCCGTTGCCAGAGGAAACATCTAGAAAAATATTTCTATAACTGTGGTCAAAGAAATTACTATGTTATGGTTGATGTTTTTAATAGGATTGTTACTGGTTTAGGTAGGGCTCTCTTTACAAAATTCTACAGGTTTTGAGTGGTCTACTTCAGTCCTACTTTCGTCATAAACCCTGTGTGCAATTAGTGTGCAATTGTATGGAATACAAGTTTTTTCTCAAATACATATTGGCACAAAAGCGGAACCACCTATAAAGATTATGTTTGGCTTACATGATTACCAGTGAATAAATTTTAACTGCATGATACAGTTACCTGTTTCTGCACTACAAACCAACCCCAAAGTTTGTGGCTTAAAACAGCAATCATTTATTTCGCCCATAAGTCTGAAATTTGGGCAGGGATCAGTGAGGACAGCCTTTCTCTACCCCATGTTGTGTCACCTAGAGTATCTGAAGCTAAAAGGTGTTGAATATCTTTTTTCCAATTGGTTTACTCACATGGCTGGCAATTCAATACTCAACCACAGCTGTTGGCTGGTGGAGGTTGGGTGGGGGGGAAGGTTCATTTCTTTTCTATATAGGTCTCTTTAACAGGGATACTTGGGCATCCTTAAAGCATGGCAGCATAGGTTTAAAGAGTCAGTATTGCAAGAGCCAGAAGATGGAAGCTGTCAATCTCTTAACAGCTCAGAAACAGTGTCACTTCCTCACATTCTAATGACTAGACAGTCATATTGCTCATCTCAATTCAGGAAGAGAGAACATAGATCTTATCTCTAGATAGGAGAAGTATCAAAAACTTTATGGCCATTTATAATCCACTACAATCCACATCAACCACTATTTTGACTTTCAAATTATTTAAAAGTTGGTTGTAGGGGTGCCTGGGTGGCTCACTCGGTTAAGGGTCTGACTTGATTTTGGCTCAAGTCATGATCTCAGGGTCCTGGGATGGAGCCCCACATTGGGCTCCACTCAGGGGCAATCTGCTTGAGGATTTCTCTCCCTCTCTCTCTGCCCATCTCTATGCACTCTCTCTCTCTTTCTCTTTTTCTCACACTCACTAAAATAAATAAATAAATCTTTTAAAAATTTTTTTAAATAAAAAAAAATAAGTTGGCTGTATAAAGCAAAGCAAACCTTTATGGTAAAGTTGTTGATAGTAAATGTTCATTGGATTCCTTTCTTTCATTATGATATCATAAAACCTTATTAAAGATCAGCATTTCCGGTAGATTAATAAAAATGATACTGTATCTATGATGAGTATGTTATTGTATTTTCAAAATTGCTTTACTGTTCTCATTATATTTATACATTCCTTCCATTCAAGGTTATACTTTAGAACACTAAAGCTGGAAGGAATCTTAGACATAATCTAGTTAAGCTACTGTGCTTCATGGATAAGAAACTCAAGGCTAGAAATGTGAAGTGTCTTACTCAAGGTCACACCATAGCTGGTTGCAAAGCCATGACCATCTGTCAATTTTCCTCCACCCACTAAGTTATGTTTGGCTTAACTACCCCATCATTAAAAAAAAAAAATTCCCTCAAACTTCCTTTGCCTTCAAACCACAGCTTCTTTTCTATTTTACTACACTGTAGATTTTTTTTTAAGTTTCACCAAGGTTTCACCTCTAACCATACATAACAGGGACACAATTTTCACAAAAATCACAGATGGCTTCCTAATTAATCAATTTAGCAGCCTCATTTCCATCTTTGTTTTTATTTTTTTT